ACAACTGAAAATTTTGAAAAAAAAGAAGTTTTTTGCTCTGTTTCTGTTATAAAATTTTGTAAATGAGTACTTTTTCTCCTTCACTGATGTGCGCTAATGAGGCTGCAGTGATGGGCACTGATAGGCTGCACTGATGGGCAGTGATAGGCGGCACTGATGATGAAGCACTGGTAGGTGGCACTGACAGGCATCACTGGTGGGCATTCACAAACATCACTGATGGGCACTGAAAGGCAGTACTCATATATGGCACTGATAGGCAGCACCGACTGCCACTGATAGGCGGAACTGACTGGGACTGATAGGTGGTACTGACGGGCACTGTTAGGTGGCACTGATGGGCACTGTTAGGTGGCACTGACGGGCACTGATAGTTGGTGCTGAGAGGCAGCTCAGATGGGCACTGATATGTGGCATTGATGTGCACTGGTAGACACTGATATGTGGCATTGATGTGCACTGACAGGTGGTATTGATGGGCAATGACAGGTGGCATTGATGAACACTGACAGGTGGCACTGATGGGGCTACACCGATCATCAGAGTACAGATCATCAAAGCCCTGATGATCAGTGTAGATGTCCCCTCTGAGGAATGCCAATTACCGGTTCTCTCTCCTCACGAGCTGTCAGAGTCAGCGTGACAGCTCGTGAGGAGAGAAATGCCGATAACCTGCATTTGGCTTTTTCTGCTGATCGGTGTGTCAAGGGGGCGCGCACATCATATGACGTCCTCCCCAGAATGAGAGAACCGCCTTACGCCTGTCATTTCCTTATATGGCGGGCGGGAGGCAGTTAAAGCTTTGTTTTTGCTTTTTATTAACAAACATGTCATACCTGTTTTGTGCAAGTAATGGTTTTGCACAGAACATCCCTGATCCTCTTCTTCTCCGGTCCTCCACTGGCACTCCTGGCTCCTCCCCCTTGGCCAGTGCCCCAATAGCAAGCCACTTGCTATGGGGACACTGGTGGGTACTTGCTCTCAAGCCCCGCTCTATTTGTCTGTAAGGCACATAGAGTCATGGCTCAGCCTTGACCCCCAGCTCACTCTTCAATGGATCACTGGTTTTGATTGACAGCAGTGCCAATGTCTCAGCTAATGAGGAGGGAGATACCTAGAACAGGCTCCACTGCACATTGCTGGATTGAGAGGGCGCTCAGGTGAGTATTAGGGGGGCTGCGGGGGGAGTTGAACACAGTTTTGGATAGGATGCATGAAGGTAAAAAACCTTCAGCCTTTACAGCCACTTTAAGTGTACAAAACCCCTTACCAGAAAGATCAGACCTCTATACTCTAGGATAGTGGTCTCCAAACTGTGTCCTGAGGGCCGGATGTGGTCCTTAGCTTGCTTTTATCCGACCCTTGGGGCACTATTTCATTTCACTGATTCCAACAATGGGGCATAATTCCCTTCATTGACACCAATGAAGGGGCACAATTCCTCCCAATGACACCAACAATGGGGCCAAATTACATAAATGGTGGGACATAATTCCTCTTATGACACTACTGATGGGGCGCCTTTCCTCTTACTGACATCAGTACCTTTTCTACTCCCAATGGCCAATCCGGCCCTCCTAAAGTGTGAAGGACAGTAAACTGCCCCTTTAGAAAGTTTGAAGACCTTTGCTCTAGGAGGTCGATCTAGCATGGATAAAATAGACGCAAGGGCAGCCTGTGCCACTAGATGGCTCCAGCACTTTCTACAAGGACTCCAACAAACCACCACCACTCAGAGAGAATAAACACCAACTCCATAGCCCAGTATCAAATAAAAGCACAGATTGTGAGTAATTTTACTTAATAAACCTGTCCTTTTATTTGATACTGGGCTATGGCGTTTGTGTTTGTTCTCTCTGAGCGCCATATATGAGACTGATGTGGTGGTTTGGTGGGAGTCCTTGGAGAGAGTGATGGAGCCATCTGGTGGTAAGAGCTACCAGGGACACATCCAAGGCTGATGCTGCAGATCTCATGTCTATTTCATCCATGCTAGACCTCTCTCCTATAGCAGTACAGGCGAACCTTTTAGAGACTGAGTACCCAAACTGCAACCCAAAACCCACTTATTTATCGCACAGTGCCCACACTACAATTAAACCTGAATACTGAGGTTTTCGTTTAGAAAAAACAACCCATACATTTACATCTTTTGTCTTAAAAGAAAAACACAATAACAGAGCTTCCTCTGACCACCAGCACACAGGGGCAAAGTTCCACTGATCATCAGCACACGGGGCAAAGTTCCACTGACCACCAGCACAAGGGGGCAAACGTCCATTGACCACCAGCACAAGGAGGCAAAGTTCCACTGACCACCAGCACAAGGGGGCAAATTTCCACTGACCACCAGCACAAGCTAAAATCTTGTGTTAATAAAAATGAATGTATTAAAACTCACAGCCAGTCCAACATATTGCGGCTAATGAGTTGCGCCTTGTGATGTCATCGCCTGATGCCGTTACTCCTTTCCGAGCTATGCGCATGGCCCGTATGTGCACTGATGTGTATCTGATGCTCGGCTGCTGGTGTGATGCTGGGGTGACTTGGCTCGTGTACCGTCAGAGAGGGCTCAGGTTCACCACTACTGTCCAATAGCATAGAGGTCTGATCTTTCTGGTAAGGAGTTTTGCGCACTTGAAGGTGGTGTAGCACTTTGAATCATATTGTATTTGCTCAGACCCTTCACGGTATTGGTTTGGGACATTCTATGAATTTTTTTGGACTTCTATTTACTTATTTATTTTGCACGATTGTACTTTATTCACTTTTATATGGTGTATGAAATTTGATTATTTCATTTGACATGTATTTAAAAACTGCTGATGTTTTGTCACATGATATATGTAGATTTTTTAATTATTTGACTCCTGATCACATCTAAAGAGACAGTGCATGCTTTTTTCAGATCAATTTTAAAGTGCACACTTATTTTCAACATGGTAAGAATCTTTTAAAAAAAGTTTCACATATTTATAAATCTGCTATGAGCCAGCGCATCTATGCTGTCTTGACATTCCTGTCAGAGGATCAATAGTTGTTAATGAAAATTGATCTTTTGGAACTCATGGAAAAATAAACATATTAGCAGCACTTCACTTAGAGATGTGTGAAGTTTTGTTTGGACTCTTAGAGGAGGGTGATACCTCTCTTTTGGAAATCGACTACTCCCCTGCCTCTCCCCCTGTGGGTCTCGGTACTTAATGATACCATGCGTATGGAGGAAATGCTGGCATTTGCCAATGATACCTAAGATAAACACAAGTTATTGTGGTCGGTCTGGCTCCATTTCTCCTCCTCCTCGTTTCTCCGAGATTTGTGTTCCCCTGTCATGCCTTAATGGAGTTGTGCCCTACTCCCCCTGGTGTGTTCCTCGATACGGCTCTGTAGTGCATGATGGGGTACGACCAGTGGGACCACCATGCTGGGATACCGATGGATAGTCACCTTGTCGCCATGCCTGTCTCCTGACCCTCTCCCTTTGCTTTCCTCTCTTCCTTCAATATCTTTACATCTAGTGTCTCCCTTCTCCTTCCTTCTTTTTTTTTTTTCTTCTTTCTCGTTTTCTCCTCCTTATCTTCTTTTCTCTCTGTTTGGGTATATCTTTTCGGTTTTATGGAATTATCTTATTATTGTTGAATATCGCCTGTTTGGGGATGCCTCCTTTGTAGCTATGGTTGGATTCGTATTCCTCCATCCCCATGGATGATACTAATTCCTATATTGTTGTTTATTCTCGCCCATTCCATTGTTGATATTCTTCTCATTTTCCTGCTACTGCATGTACTGTTTGATTTGATGCAAAATCTAATAAAGACAAATTTGCCATTAACCACCTCCCGCCCGCCATATAGTCCAATGAAGGGCGCAAGGTGGTTCTCTCGTTCTGGGAGGACATCATATGACGTCCTCCCATTCTCACCGAGCATGCATGGCTCAGGGAGCACGCAGCGCGCCGATCGGCGGTGCACTGTGTCCCTCGGACACAGCGGATCACCGATCTATGGAAAGAGCCAAAGATGTCAGATTGGTCATGTGAGCAGCTGTCTCCAATCACAGCTGATCACATGTAAACAGGGAAATGCCGGTTATCAGCATTTCTTTCCTCTTGAGCTGTCACGCTGACAGCTCGAGAGGAGAGCCGGTAATCAGCATTCCGCGGAGGGGACATGTACACTTGTTAGGGATCCGGGTATGACCAGAAATGTGTGGACTGACACAGGGAAGTAGCAGGCTTCAGGAACACAGGCGTAGTCAGGGCTGGAGAGGTGGAATGGTCAGGCAGGCCGTTAGGTACTGTCAGGCACCGCCCAGCAGAATCTCTAGTACCCACAGAACGGGATTCCCCAGGGCGCGGAGTCTATCCCCAGTCTGCCTTTTCACCAGAGCCCGATGGTGGGGAGGGACTTGGCGCAGGACTGAGACCTGGTCGCATCCCCTGAGTGCACACAACTGTGGTAGAGGGGTTCACCGAGGGTATGTACCGTGGGAAAGCCTGACGTGAAGAGGCTGGCAGACCTGGTAACAGGGACAGATCCATGCGGGATGGATGGATCATCTGGGTAATGTCAGGCGTAGTCAGGCAGGCCAGGTCAGCAACGTGCGGGCAGCAAGGTACCGGAGGAGCAGGCAGAGAATAGTCAGGGTCACAAGCCGGGTTCAGTAACTCACGGGCAGCGAGGTACAGAGGATCAGGCAGAAGGATGGTCAGGCAAGCCAGGGATCAAGCAGGAGAAGTCAGCAGAGGTCAGGATCAGGCAGGGTCAGCAACAAATCAGATAGTCAGCAGAACAGGAACACAGGATACCAGGTACAGAGGCTCATGGGAAACAATACACCAAGGCACTGATCACCGGCCTGGTCCTGCTTAAATACACCTCCTGCAATCAGCTTCAGCTGATGGCTGACTGCAGGAGTGAGCTTCTGGTTGCTGAGAGCACCCGCTGGCCAGCCCTGGTACTGCAGCCCACACGGCAGGTGAGTCCCAGCACCAGTGGTGAATCCATTCCAGACAACACTGATCATCAGGGCACTGATGATCAGTGTGCCCTGATGATAAGTGTGGCCACCAGTCAGTGTCCATCAGTGCCAGCTGTTAGTGCTAAACAGTGCCACGTGCCAGTGCCCATCAATGCCACATACAGTCAGGTCCATAAATATTGGGACATCGACACAATTCTAACATTTTTGGCTCTATACACCACCACAATGGATTTAAAATGAAACGAACAAGATGTGCTTTAACTGCAGACTGTCAGCTTTAATTTGAGTGTATTTACATCCAAATCAGGTGAAGGGTGTAGGAATTACAACAGTTTGCATATGTGCCGCCCACTTGTTAAGGGACCAAAAGTAATGGGACAGAATAATCATAAATCAAACTTTCACTTTTTAATACTTTGTTGCAAATCCTTTGCAGTCAATTACAGCCTGAAGTCTGGAACGCATAGACATCACCAGATGCTGGGTTTCATCCCTGGTGATGCTCTGCCAGGCCTCTACTGCAACGGTCTTCAGTTCCTGCTTGCTCTTGGGGCATTTTCCCTTCAGTTTTGTCTTCAGCAAGTGATATGCATGCTCAATCGGATTCAGGTCAGGTGATTGACTTGGCCATTGCATAATATTCCACTTCTTTCCCTTAAAAAACTCTGGTTGCTTTTGCAGTATGCTTTGGGTCATTGTCCATCTGCACTGTGAAGCGGCATCCAATGAGTTCTGAAGCATTTGGCTGAATATGAGCAGATAATATTGCCCGAAACACTTCAGAATTTATCCTGCTGCTTTTGTCAGCAGTCACATCATCAATAAATACAAGAGAACCAGTTCCATTGGCAGCCATACATGCCCACGCCATGACACTACCACCACCATGCTTCACTGATGAGGTGGTATGCTTAGGATCATGAGCAGTTCCTTTCCTTCTCCATACTCTTCTCTTCCCATCACTCTGGTACAAGTTGATCTTGGTCTCATCTGTCCATAGGATGTTGTTCCAGAACTGTGAAGGCTTTTTTTAGATGTCCTTTGGCAAACTCTAATCTGGCCTTCCTGTTTTTGAGGCTCACCAATGGTTTACATCTTGTGGTGAACCCTCTGTATTCACTCTGGTGAAGTCTTCTCTTGATTGTTGACTTTGACACACATACACCTACCTCCTGGAGAGTGTTCTTGATCTGGCCAACTGTTGTGAAGGGTGTTTTCTTCACCAGGGAAATAATTCTTCGGTCATCCACTACAGTTGTTTTCTGGGTCTTTTGGTGTTGCTGAGCTCACCAGTGCGTTTCTTCTTTTTAAGAATGTTCCAAACAGTTGTTTTGGCCACGCCTAATGTTTTTGATATCTCTGATGGGTTTGTTTTGTTTTTTTCAGCCTAATGATGGCTTGCTTCACTGATAGTGACAGCTCTTTGGATCTCATCTTGAGAGTTGACAGCAACACATTCCAAATGCAAATAGCACACTAGAAATGAACTCTGGACCTTTTATCTGCGCATTGTAATTGGGATAATGAGGGAATAACACACACCTGGCCATGGAACAGCTGAGAAGCCAATTGTCCCATTACTTTTGGTCCCTGAACAAGTGGGAGGCACATATGCAAACTGTTGTAATTCCTACACCGTTCACCTGATTTGGATGTAAATACCCTCAAATTAAAGCTGACAGTCTGCAGTTAAAGCACATCTTATTCGTTTCATTTCAAATCCATTGTGGTGGTGTATAGAGCCAAAAATGTTAGAATTGTGTCCCAATATTTATGGACCTGACTGTATCAGTGCCCATCTGAGCTGCCTTTCAGTGTCACCCATCAGTGCCAGTCAGTGCCACCTATCAATGCCAATCAGTGCCGCCTATCAGTGCCTGTCAGTGCCGCCTAACAGTGCTGCCTTTCAGTGCCCATCAGTGATGCCTGTCAACGCCCATCAGTGCCACCTACCAGTGCCTCCTCATCAGTGCCCATCAGTGCCACCTATCAGTGTCCATCAGTGCAGCCTCATTAGCGCACATCAGTAAAGGAGAAAAATCACTTATTTACAAAATTTTATAACAAAAACTAAAAAAAAACCTTTTTTTTCAAATTTTTCAGCGGTTTTTGGTTTGTTTAAGAAAAAAAAAAAAAACCCAGAGGTGATTAAACACCACCAAAATAAAGCTCTATCTGTCACAAAGAAATTATAAAAATGTCATATGGGTACAGTGTTGCATGACCGCGCAATTGTCATTCAAAGTGTGACAGCGCTGAGAGCTGGAAATTGGCATGGGCAGGAAGGGGGTATAAGTGCCCTGTAGGCAAGCGGTTAAAAATATTCTTCCTAAATATATTGACATATATTTGAAATGCTACAATTTTGGCCATATTCAATATATTTCAAAATATACGCACACATACATACAGTAGGGCAAAAAAGTATTTAGTCAGCCACCAATTGTGCAAGTTCTCCCACTTAAAAAGATGAGAGAGGCCTGTAATTGGCATCATAGGTAGACCACAACTATGAGAGACAAAATGAGAAAAAAAATCCAGACAATCCCATTGGCTGATTTGGAAAGAATTTATTTGCAAATTATGGTGGAAAATAAGTATTTGGTCACCTACAAACAAGCAAGATTTCTGGCTCTCACAGACCTGTACCTTCTTCTTTAAGAGGCTCCTCTGTCCTGCACTCATTACCTGTATCAATGGCACTTGTTTGAACTTGTTATCAGTATAAAAAGACACCTGTCCACAACCTCAAACAGTCACACTCCAAACTCCACTACGGTGAAGACCAAAGAGCTGTCGAAGGACACCAGAAACAAAATTGTAGACCTGCACCAGGCTGGGAAGACTGAACCTGCAATAGGCAAGCAGCTTGGTGTGAACAAATCAACTGTGGGAGCAATAATTAGAAAATGTAAGACATACAAGACCACTGATAATCTCCCTCGATCTGGGGCTCCACACAAGATCTCACCCCGTGGGGTCAAAATGATCACAAGAACGGTGAGCAAAAATCCCAGGATCACACGGGGGGACCTAGTGAATGACCAGCAGAGAGCTGGGAACAACGTAACAAAGGCTACGATCAGTAACACACTACGTCGCCAGGGACTCAGATCCTGCAGTGCCAGACGTGTCCCCCTGCTTAAGCCAGTACATGTCCGGGCCCGTCTGAGGTTTGCTAGAGAGCATTTGGATGATCCAGAAGAGGATTGGGAGGATGTCATATGGTCAGATGAAACCAAAATAGAACTGTTTGGTAGAAACACAACTCGTCGTGTTTGGAGGAGAGAGAATGCTGAGTTGCATCCAAAGAACACCATACCTACTGTGAGGCATGGGGGTGGCAACATCATGCTTTGGGGCTGTTTCTCCGCAAAGGGACCAGGACGACTGCTCCATGTACAGGACAGAATTAATGGGGCCATGTATCGTGAGATTTTGAGTGCAAACCTCCTTCCATCAGCAAGGGCATTGAAGAACGTGGCTGGGTCTTCCAACATGACAATGATCCCAAACATACCACCTGGGAAACGAAGGAGTGGCTTCGTAAGAAGAATTTCAAGGTCCTGGAGTGGCCTAGCTAGTCTCCAGATCATAACCCCATAGAAATCCTTAGGAGGGAGTTGAAAGTCCGTGTTACCCAGCGACAGCCCCAAAACATCATCGCTCTAGAGGAGATCTGCATGGAGGAATGGGCCAACATACCAGCAACAGTGTGTGCCAACCTTGTGAAGACTTACAGGAAACGTTTGACCTCTGTCATTGCCAACAAAGGATATATAACAAAGTATTGAGATGAAATTTTGATATTGACCAAATACTTATTTTCCACCATAATTTGCAAATAAATTCTTTCCAAATCAGCCAATGTGATTGTCTGCATTTTTTTTCTCATTTTGTCTCTCATAGTTGAGGTCTACTTATGATGCCAATTACAGGTCTCTTATCTTTTTAAGTGGGAGAACTTGCACAATTCGTGGCTGACTAAATACTTTTTTGACCCACTGTATATACATATACGCACAGCATGTTGAAATGCGTTTGGTATTGCAAAATATATGAAAAATATTTTTTAAAAAAAACATTTCAAATATACTGTATGTCTTTAAAAATACATTTCTACATTTTTGGAATGCATTTGCAAATATATGTAAAAATATATGTTAAAATGATTTTTTTATATGTTACAAAAAATTTGAAGAATATATTTTTAAAAACATTATTAAAAATATATTCTTCAGATTTTTTTTACATATAAAAAAGTAATTTTAACATATATGTTTACATATATTTGCAAATGCATTCCAAAAATGTAGATTTGTATTTTTAAAGACATACAGTACATTTGAAATGTATTTTTAAAAATAATTTTCATATATCTTGTAATAAAAACACATTTTAACATGCAGTATATATATATATATATATATATATATATTGAAATATATTGAATATGGCCAAAATTGTAGAATTTCAAATATATGTCAATTTATTTGGGAAGAATATTTTTAAAATTTATTTCAAATATATTTTTCTTCCATGTGGGCATAAATAAAGCTGAGACACTCAAAAAAAATCCGGCCTTCAAAATTGACATATACTTGCCAATATTGAATATCCAATCAGACTGTCACAGAACACACTCCCAGATTGACGAAGTTAACTTCATCCAAGGAAGGCACCATTGTGTACTTACAATACAATATAGCTGAATATTGAATCCAAAGACTAGCAGGGAATGCTTCAGGAATTGCAGAAGGTAGCACTGGTGCTTGTAGGCAGGCAGCTGACAGTATGTTTTGTGCAGTTAACTTGATATTAGGAGGGTGGCAGAGAGCAAGACGCTGGCAACACTAGACCAGGCTGGTCAATAGCAGTGTGGTATGATTGTGAGTCCACGAGAAGCTAACTGTGCAAAGAAGGAAGAAGGAGAAAAGCTGAACAAGAGATTATAGCAGATACATTTTGAAGAAAAAAAAAAAAAAACAAAACACTTTACTTACCGTACGATCCCACATTGCCCCCAGGATCCAGCCCCCACGCCCAGACAGAGAGACTCTTCAATTTGTCCAGAGAGAGAAAGAGAAAGAGAAAAAGAGAGATTGAAAGAGAGACACTGCTTCGTTGCCCCGAGAGAGACTGATTCATTGCCCCCAGAAAGACAGACACTACTCCATTGCCCCCAGAGAGAGAGAGACTGCTCCATTGCCCCCAGAGAGAGAGAGAGAGACTGATCCATTGCCCCCAGAGAGAGATAGAGAGACTGCCCCATTGCCCCCAGAGAGAGAGAGAGAGAGAGAGAGAGAGAGACTGCTCCATTGCCGAGAAAGATAGGGGGGGAGAGACTGCTCCATTGCCCCCAGAGAGAGAGAGACTGCTCCATTGCCCCCAGAGAGAGACTGCCCCATTACCCCCAGAGAGAGAGAGAGACTGCTCCATTGCCCCCAAAGAGAGAGAGAGGCTGCTCCATTGCATCCATTGTCAACAAAGTGCACCCGGGCCCCTCCTCCCTGCCCAGGACAGCCCAACCCATTGGGGAGGGCCTTATTTCAGTCTGGAGGCATAAAAGGGAACATACACTCTCAGTCCAGTCAGCTCTGAGGAAGAAGGCGTGTCCTTCGAAACGCGTCAGTTGTACTGAGTGGCTACCTCCATGATGGGATTTGCACTGGCATCTTGCCTTTAAATTCCCTTTGAGGACTTACATGCCTGTTTTTATTCGCTGTTTGTGAGTACCATTCTTTTACTAAATACATTTTGGTTACTGAGGTAATGCGCAAGGTTGGTGCGCTTCTTTTTGTTGTTCTACTTCACAGTTCTGTTCGGGCTTCCCCAGCCTTGGTGTGGAGCTGCACGACCTTGTCTATTCCGGTGGTTCCTTTTTCGGAGTTTGATTTCATCTACTCACCACCGGTCTGGGTCCCGGAGCGCAGGAGATATCGCATTTACTACTCCATTGCCCCCAGAGAGACAGACACTACTCCATTGCACCCAGAGAGAGACTGTTTTAATTTGTCCCCAGAGAGACACTGCTCCATTGCCTCCAGAGAGAGAGAGACTGCTCCATTGCCCCTACAGAGAGAGAGAGACTGCTCCATTGCCCCCAGAGAGAGAGATAGACTGCTCCATTGCCCCCAGAGAGAGAGATAGACTGCTCCATTGCCCCCAGAAAGAGAGAGAGACTGCTCCATTGCCCCCAGAGAGACAGACACTACTCCATTGCCCCCAGAGAGACAGACACTACTCCATTGCCCCCAGAGAGAGACTGTTTTAATTTGTCCCCAGAGAGACACTGCTCCATTGCCTCCAGAGAGAGAGAGACTGCTCCATTGCCCCTAGAGAGAGAGAGAGACTGTTCCATTGCCTCCAGAGAGACTGCTCCGTTGCCCCTAGAGAGAGAGACTGCTCCATTGCCCCCAGAGAGAGAGAGAGACTGCTCCATTGCCCCCAGAGAGAGAGAGAGAGACTGCTCCATTGCCCCCAGAGGGAGAGAGCCTGCTCCATTGCCCTCAGAGAGAAAGAGAGACTGCTCCATTGCCCTCAGAGAAAGAGAGACACGGCTCCATTAACCTCAGGAGAGAGGGGATAATGCTCCATCGCCGAGAGAGAGACACTGCTTCATTGCCCCAGAGCAGAGGCGGACTGACAACTCATGGGGCCCCTGGGCAATAGGTGATCCTGGGGCCCTTGTCCTTGCCCACACTCAAAGCACACCCAAAAAAGCCTATAAAAAGGTACCAGGGGCATTTCATGGGACTCCCTACTGACCCCGGGCCCTCGTGCCCGAGTGCTCTGATGGTCAGTCGCCCCTGCCCCAGAGAGAGAGACACAGCTCCATTGCCCAGAAAGAAAGACACACTGCTCTATCGCCCCTAGAAAGATAGAGATACACTGCTCCATTGCCCTCAGAGGGAGGCACTGCTCTATTATCGATCGATTGAGAGAGAGAGAGAGTCTACTCCACTGTTCCCCCTGAGAGAAAGACACTGCTCCATTGCCCCCAGGAAGACACTACATTGCCGCCAGAGACTGCTCCAATTTGACCCAGGCCCAAAGACTGCTCC